ACCTTGCCGCACATGATCACGCGGCCAGACACTCACGCACGCGCATCATGCTACTCCTCTCGCCCGATCATCAGGCGGTGTCGAAGCCCCAGCCGCTTGTGGGGGAGTCGTCGGAGGCATCAAGCGCGGTCGTGCCCAAAAGCCTATTTGACAGCACGCCCTCGCCGAAGGACCCGGGTTGCGTGATGAAACCTTTCGCCATGAGCGTCTTCAGGCAGGTCGCTGTCACCGGTGCCTTCAGGCAGAATTTGTCGAGCTTGCCCGAGGTGGGGTTGGCGGGGGGCTGGGAGGGGGCGGCGAGGGCGACCAGCCCGCGCAAGCTCGATTTCTCGCCGGACTCTCCCTCCCAGCCGGCTCGAGCTCGCCAGCGCCGGCGCAACGGATGGCAAAAGGCGGTACGATTTGGGCAACCAGCCGGCGCAAACGAGGACGAGAGGGAGTCCGGGGGGACGGGCCGGAGCAACTTCAACAAGTTCTCGAAGAGGGGCTCATTCGACGAAGAGATCGAACAAATTCGGTGCTCATCCTCCAGACCTCCACCTCCTCCTCCACCTCCGGGCCCCGTCTCCCGCCGCCTCCGGCGGATAGAGCTGTTTAACGTTGGGAGCTGATCAGTGTTGCTAGTGTTAACAGTAACAACAGAACAACAGTGGGGCTCCCCAACAACAGTAGCTAACGTTAGGCCAGCTGAACAACAATAAGGAAGGCCTACCAGTAACCCACGACGATCTCCAGCGTCCAGCATCATTGTCATGGGACGGCGACCGCCTCCACTGTGAACCACTTTTGATGCCTAATCTCAAAGTATAGCAGGGGGGGATACCCGTAGCCCCCAACGTGAACTGCCTGATCGACTCCCCGGCACACGGCGGAGGAAGAGGAAGACAGCACAACCCCAGGGCGGGAAGAGCACAATGCTCAGGGTGGGACAAAACACCGACAGACGAGAGAAGAGGCCACAAAACAGACAAGCAGAATGGCAAGAGAGAGACGCTCTGCAGGCGAGCGGAAGGGCCTCTTGGGCCCTCGCGTCTCTATTTCGACCTGCTTTCGACCACTCACAAATGTGTCGAAAGCAGGTCAACCTCCTTTGGTTTCCCACACTGACGCCACACGACGGGCGCTTCCTGAATGAGATAGTCTCTGCGAAAACACTGTTCCAGTGAATTCGCCCTAGAGGCCTCCGTGTGGACTCGCAGCTCCGGCTGGATGTCGGCGACCTAAAGCTCGGCGGCCGTCGCTTCGCGCCGGCCGACTCCCTGTCGTGTCGTAGTGCATCAGAGGAGAGAGGAGCGCCCCTTGGCTCTCACCGCACTCGCCGCTCTCGCAGGGCTCTAGGAGAGAGACATGAAAACCGCGAGGTCCCGCGTCCCGGGACACGCATCCAGCGTCTCTTGCCCCCTCTCCCGTCGAAAAAGTCTCTCTGTCTCTCGCCGTGACCGCCATGGCCCATGGGCCCATGTGCCGCCTCGCGGCGTCCCCAAAAAACTGTTCAGTTTTCAAAGGCAAAAACGCCGGCGTACGCCCTCCCCTCACACTGGCACTTCTCCCCTATTCCCAACTTTAGGTTGCGCACGTCTCCCAAGCGAGCTAGGATCTCCGCTTTTTCTCCCCTAGTCATCCGCCCGCGCCGCGCGCCTCTCTGGGCGTCTCAGTCAGTCAGTCAGTCTTACACACCTCCAAGCATGGAGGACGGGCCCACACGCACACACACGCTGCACACGATTGGCTCGGGAGCCGACACGAGGCACACTGGCCTCACCGGCCTTAGCACCGGGTCCGGACTGCTGGACACACAGCACGCAGCTCACAGGACAGCTCACGAGGTGGCGCTACATAATGGGGTTCTCAGGGACTGACAAGGCGAACTTGTACACGGTTGCGAGGATGAGCGCCGCCACCACACCCGCGTCAAGGAGGTCGTCCTTGGAGGCGTCCACCAGCCCCTCTGCCATCTCGCGATCCGCCTCGGTGATGCTGGCGTCATTGTCCGAGTCGATCTTGGCGAGGGAGAGGAGGAGCGCCGCCTGGCCGCAGCCGCCAAGCTCGCCCACCATGTCCTCCGAGGAGCTCTTCTCGAGGCACTCGCGCGCGTCCCTCGCCATCGCGGCGGCGCCACGCATGCGGCCCTTGGCAGCAGCGCCCTGGCTCTCCCACGGCTGCATGGTCAGCTCCGTGTCGAGGTAGTCCTTGCACTGCTTGCTGAGCGTGAGGTGCGAGTAGAGGAGGGCGAGGGCGCCACTCGCCAGGGGGAGGCTCGGCAGCAAGTCCCACCACGAGCCCGTGACTGCGCCCTCGCAGGAGAGGAGGAACAGCGAGCCGACGAGAGCCGTGTTTTGGCAAAACACGAGCACCGACTCGGCCTTGCTCGCGATGCCGACGTACCACAGCTGCGCGTCGAGCGATGGCATCCAGTAGGAGATCTGCGAGTACATGGCGAGGCTCATCACGAGCGTCACCGCGGCGGCCGCGGTCGCCGAGAAGTCGGCGAGGAAGGAGGAGAGATCCGCGAGTTTGAACTGCTGCGTGAGCGAGGAGGCGTCGTCGAGTACCTCCAGCTCGAGCCCCTCCAGCCCCTCCTCCAACTGCTTTAGCACATTCTCGTCTCCACCTCCGCCGCCGCCGCCGCCGCCGCCGCCGCCGCCGTGGCTGCGCATCAGCCGTGTGAGCGTCTCGTCCTCCGCGTAGGCAAACTCGTATATGAATGAGAGCACCAGCGCTGCCACGACGCCGGCGCCAAGCAGACGCATTTGGAAGGCGTCGACGAGCCGCCCCGCAGCCCGCCGGCCCTCGTCGCTGATGCCGCCGCCGCCACCGCGGTCCAGCTTCGCCAGCGAAAGCAGCAGGGCGGCCTGGCCGCAGCCCCCCAGTGCACCAACTGGGTCCTTCGTCGCGACCGTGCGCTTCAGGGTCGACTTTGCGTCCTCGCCCATAGCCGTCGCGCCCTTCCAGCGCCTCGCTGAGTCGCCCTGCTGCTCCCACGCTTTGCCAACCATCTCTGTACTCAGGTAGTCCTCGCAGCTGCGTGACAGATTGTACCGGATGTAGAGCATCGCGAGTCCGACCGCGAGGAGCGGCAAGAAGGGCAAAATGTCCCACGCCGACCGCGTCACAGCCACCTGGCACGCGAGCGAGAGCAGCGCGCTGAAGACAGTGACGTACGTTGCGAGGTCGACGGCCGCGCGGGCCCTGCTCGACGCGTTGACGTACCACAGCCGCGCCTCGAGCGAGGGCATCCACAGGGAGATCTGGGAGTACATGAGGGAGGACATGACGATAACAAGCACGCAGGTGAGCACGCACACAAAGTCGGCGACGCACGAGGTCAGGTCGGCCACCTCCTCAACGCCCCATTCGCGCGACGAGTGCAGCGCCGTCAGCGACGCGTCCTCTTCGTATGCCCATTGGAACATCGTTGCGAGCATCGCTGCCGCGACCACGCCTGAATTGAGTAGCGCCTCCTTGCTCGCGCTCACAAGCCGCTCCACCGCGTCCAGATCCTCTTCTGATACCTCGCCGTCACCGTCCGGGTCGAGCCTCGCGAGCGAGAGGAGAAGGCCAGTCTGGCCGCAGCCGCCGAGCTGGGCGACCGGGTTCTCGTCGCGCAGCGCCCGTGCGAGCGACGATCGCGCGTCCCTGGCCATGTTCCGCGTGCCCTCTTGGTGCCCGCCTGTCTGCCCTTCCCACGCCTTGGATTCAATCTCCGAGTCAAGATACGCTTGGCAGTCGCGAGCGAGCGTGCAGTCCATGTACGCGACCGCCGCGCCGGCGGCCAGCAGCGGCAGAAAAGGCAAGATGTCCCACGCCGACCGGGTCACTGCGCACTCGCATGCGAGCGCAAGCAGCCCACAGGCTAGCGTCACCAGCTTTGCCGCCTCGACCACCGCAAAGATGCGGCTCGACCTGCTAACGTACCACAATTGCGACTCGATGGAGGGCATCCAGACGGCGATGTGGAGATATAGGGTCGCGCAGATGAGGATCGTGACGCTGCAGGTGGCCACGCAGAGGAAAT